TATATATATATATATCAGGATGACAGGTTTTTGCATGGAAAAATGGAACTCCGAAAAGTGCAGTTCCAACCCCGAAAAAATATGCTTTTCGTTTGAAAGCAATCTGTATGAAATTCCGCCCAAAAATAGTTTGAAAAGCGCGGCAATGCATGAGTTTCGACATTCGAAATTTCATTGGTTCCACCCTCCCGAACTGTTAGAAAACAATTTCTCTTAATGTTCATCTGAAAAAACTAGGAGAGGTGACACGCTGAAAATTCTGAAACCCAAAGATCTAGCCATATACCACCTCAGACCAGAAAAGTTTAACCCCGTCATCTATCAAACTGATTTTTTGGAGTGAAATTTTGCACGGATCACCCCTAGAATTAATGGCATATTTTTCAGACCTGGAATCTCAAAAATACTGATACTGGAAAGAATTCGTCACCCTAATACATATGTCCAGAATATGCTTTTTGAAAACGTAAACGGTGAAACTCAAAAATTGAGTGAAAGTCCATAAGAATTTGAGTGAAATGTTTATTTTGTTCACCAAATCAAAAAAAATGAATATGAATGTTTTTTATATTGTAAGCACAAAAATATTTCATCACATGATTAACAATTCAGCAAATTTCCATATTATACAATCATTCATCACGCATAAAAACAATTTCATTTCACAGTAAACAAACTTATATAGAACGCAACATTAATTCGTATGCACATATGCGCAAATACCGAAATATTAATTTAGAATCAAGTCAACGAAACCCGAACATAAAACATAGCAAACAACACTGAAATATATCTCATCAAAAATTGAAACTTTAGACAAAAAGAAATAAAAATCGATCAGATGCATACATACATATTTTCGGCAGAATTCGAGTGAGATATCTGCGAGAGATCATTTTATAAGGTCAAGTTTTTGAGCTAGTGTTTGCATTTTGCGAATGACCGGAGTTGACGTTACCGATGAATATAACTCCATATCCCATACCACATCCAATCGCTCCATCGACTCTTGGACCGACTTCAACCGAAGCGTACCTTCTCGTCGACGATCCTTATCTTTACTAGCTCGAATCTCCTTAAAATGGAAAAATGAAATGAAATAAAATTAATGCAGCATTCGATTTGTCACAATTTCAATCAAAATATCATAGTTCATGATGCGAAGCAACCGAATTCACTGTTATATTCAGTCACAGTTTCATAAACGTCTTGATTTATACTAAGGCTGTGAAATAAAAACAAAATTTAAAAAACGCGTCAACATTAAAGTATAACATATAACTCTACTGAAGTCTTATGATATTCTCAAGTCGAGTAGTGATAAAGGAATTTACGACACGCATTCATTTTGCAATGCGGGATTCAAACATTGCCCTGTTAGTCTCAAGGTAAATAAATCTAAGGACCATCAAAAACGGTTTCATTTCCAACCATCGCTTCTTGTGGTGTCATTCCAATAAGTTCAACAAGCACGGAATGAGAAACAACACATTCAAGTTTTTCACAGCTTTCATCACTCAATACAATTCGCATTGTCCATATATCGTCAACGATCCTTAACGGTATAGCAATATCTTTCATTACTGCCTGAAACACCGACAAAAAATGATTTTCACTAATATATCATCTTCATGATGGAGGCCTGAAATGAGATGATCAAAATTTACCAACAAACTCGCTAGGGACGCCCAGACGGCAAAGAAAGGATCGGCTATGACAGCCGAAATGATTTCAAGAATCCTGAATTCTGAAATGAAATCGAACTCACAACGATGCTCCTTCGTATCGAACCCAACGCATACCGAGCAACGCTCATCGCATCTTCGATAAAAACAATTTCTGAGCGATTATATCGCAACATCACTGGGTCATCTGACCTCAATATGCTCCGTTTCTGCCTCACAGATGAATCTGAACACATTATACCGGTCCAAAACATAGGTTTCTTACTAACAGAAACATTCATAACTCGAATAAATTAATTAAACAACTCTTGCGCATGAATATCGTGAAACTAGAAACGTAGAAATCATCTTCTGATATAAGAAAGCGAACTGTAAGTTTCCACTGCATTTCTACTCAACTTCTTAAAATTTTATCCAACAACTTGAGAGGTGACCTCAGAAATAGGACAAATTAGTACGCCGAAAATAAACATACTTCTTTTAGTTAAAGGTGTGTGAGTAGGCACAAAGAGACTCGATGATGACTGCCAACTTTGCCTTACATCGATGACCATAATATCATCGTCGTTTTCTTCTTCACTGAATCACATTATGAAACATGAGTCAAACTAGAACTTGTTATGGCATCATCCAGCATATATAATGTCTCAATTTCCATCCGATTTTAATTCACAAAATCCCTTTAACCTTTATAACGACTCAGTAACACTGTGTTTTTTAGAGAACATTTGATTTCAACGAGTGTGTCGTTCTAAAAACTGCATACGATAGTTTCCATCTGCTTATGATACCAGTGAAACGTTGTCTCTAAGTCAGGCGAATACTTTAGAATATGTTAACAAATCTTCTACAGCTTACTATCAAATTTAGAACATGTCACACATATTATTAACTCCAAAGAAATCGGGAATGGTTAAAGGGTAACAAAATTAAAGCAATTATCAAAAAAAAAATCAAAACAAAACATCATCTGCTCACATTTTGATACGTTTTGAGTGGAATTCATACGGCGATGAACTTGAACCTGCTGAATGCTTAGTGTATGAGTGTTGTTCCAATGGAGTTGATGTTACAGGTATCTTCCTTTGGAAGGTCGATGGAAGATTTTTACTAGTACGTGAAGATGAATGTTGTGCTGTCAATGGTGTCGTGACCGGATCGAATCGAAAAGAAGCACATACAGATGATGAGAGTGGACTGTCATTAGACGACTTAGTCCGATCGTCGCTGCGGCTAAAAAAAAACGATCAAGCTGTGAAATATTTCACTGTCTCTTTCCCCATGCGGCGGCAAGTTAATTCAAATTCCTTGGTTAGCCCAGCTGACTGGAAAAACCGATCAGTCAATTTCTTAGTCCAGAACTAACCAGTTTATCGAATAAAAAATGTGAGCCTTACTGAGATTTTTGCCACCAAAACTGAGTGGCACTAAAATTATCATGTGATGAATTTGGAAACTGATATGAATATCCCACACCTGTGCTTATCAGCAAGCGGTTTAACCTCCATTACAGGTCTCGGTAGTAAGGAAGATGCTGATGATGTGGCATTTGTTTTCGGTGTTTCTGGAGAGTTTAATCTGTCTTTGTCCGAATTTAATTTTCTAATTGATGTTTTTTGACTTACTGTACCACTTAATTCACTGTTGTTGTCTATTGAACATCTTATTTGTACTGAATTCATCCGCTGGACACTACTGAAATCACGAGATTATAACTGTCATATTACTCTATAGGTTCAGTCTAATTAATCACCAATTTTAACCTCTTCATATAATGAAATTAAAAAATTCTTTCTGCTCTCTGAGAAACCAACTGTTGCATCATCATATTGAACAAAACAAAAAAGATTTTTTGCAGGATTGCAAAATGACAATCGAAAAAATGGGCATCGCACCGATTTTTAGTAAATAATTCTAACATCGCAATTCCCGCCCCATTTTTCACAGTTTCGTCTAACCAAAAAATGTAACAATCTAAAATCACAATGGAACAATGCGGAATATGATAAACAACCTTGACGGTACAGCTTTTCTGTCTTGAGATTTAGTAGTCTGCTTACCGACCGATGCCACCTTATTGGTAATATCTTTACCGAGTGCACGAGCCATCACCTCGACAGGACGATTTGTCTTCATTAGTGTCTCATCATGACCACCAAGTACCATTGAATTTGATTCTGTTAGAAAGAGGATATTCCGACGCATTTCAATCGCACCATAGACTAGAATCTGGAATTTTCAGAAAATATTTCAATAGTTTATATGAGTTGGGGAACCAATCTTTCACTGTTATAGATTCAGTTGACTATCAAAATAACTCAACGTGGATCTTATTCCGTAAACGACACACTTAATGAGATGGTAATGGAGATTCACATGGTGAAGCTCTTCAGAATCTTATAGCTTTAAAACATTTTATCGTTATCATTATTACTATTATGCAACAGCGAATCGAACTGATGAAATACATAAACCATGAGATCAAAAGGCAACTGTGATTAAAAAGTTGATATACAGATGAGGGGACTCGTTAAAATATTTGTGCAGAGCCAGTTAATAAGTCCGAAATTCAAAAGTTGGTCATAAAATGAATACCTATTGTAATCTGAAGAGATGCCAAAGACAAGCAGAGAAAGAGAAGTGCAATAAAGATTGAATTTACTTTACATCCAGGACAAGTCAGTAACGATAAGTCTTTGATGGGGCGGTATTCGATAGCTTTCAGATTCGTCTGACCATCAGTTAGTTCCAGCAGTAGCATACGACGAGGCTTCTTCAATGAAAGAAAACGATAATCAGAAGATGGAAAATCAAAAATAAATATCAACATTATTGACATTGTCTGATGCATGCTTAAGATCGGAAATTTTAATCTAAACTGTGATGTAATAAGAATTCAAAAGCACTCATCAAGGCGTTGACAAATGAAACAAACCGCCCATGAGATTGCTTCCGAATTGTTCTTTTGATCATCGTTTGCTGTTGTGAATCCTGAATTATCTTCAAATTCATCAGTCAACTCAGCAATTTGGTAATGAAATGATGTACCAATATCAACCAACGAGTTAATCTGAAAATTCTCAATTCGGTTTTATTCCAATTAAACATCCACATTTTGTTTCGAACCAGAAAACACGCACAAATATTGCAAAAGGTAACGATTCATGAGTCGATAAAATGGAAACCCATTTATTTCTTATGGAAGTAAACTCTCAACACAGTTTGCTCTACATTACGCAATGAACTCAAAGAACATTGATGACTATTATTGAAAATTAGTACGCACTTGCAAAACCACACTTATATTGTGGATCACTTTCTTACGAGCAGATGGAGTTGAAGATAAAGGGAGCATTGGTTCAGTGGAGTATTTGATATCAAAATGGATCCATTGCTCATAGACCGCTTCCGCCAACGACTCATGGTCCAATGAATCCTAAATTATCATCACTTTAAAATCGGTTTAGAAAATGATCCAAGAGAGCTAGAAATCCATATGAAATTAGCCATATGAAAGCTAAATTTCAGTGAGTTCTTAAAAAATCAAATAAGCATCTTCTGAAGGCATTTCTCGCATGTAACCTAGAGGAAAAGATAAGACCTGTAATAGAAATCCAAATGAAACAACCTATCTGAAATTATATTCAAAAATATCAAAAGCGCATTCATCGATATTTTGAGTGTACTTAAAGCTTTATGAAATTCACACAGTCTTATATCAGAGTGATGGAGAAGTTAAATTAATGAATAAATTTGCTACGAGACGTTCCTTACCCGTTGAGACTGAATGTAGAGAATCGCCTCTTGAAGCCACTCGTAATGCAATCGAATGTGACACCTTTCCAGGAAATAATCATAAACGAATTGCATGATCACCAATCCATTCGTTTTCAAAAACTTGCATTCAACAGTTGCTCAATTTCCCTCAAAAACTTCGGTATTCTTCCTCAGAGGCAAGTTGCTACAAACGGCGTCGGCGCACTTCGCCATAAAAACGCATCTGAGCGCAGGGGCGGAGTCAGCGAAGAGCATGCGCAATTGCAGGTCAACGAGTGATTAAGCTCTTAAAAGTGAACATTTCATTCAACGAATCTTGACTATCGCAGTGACATTTTGCTTGATGATGTCTTCTCAAACAGACGCATTCTCGATGGAATTTTTAAAGAATACCATCGGAAAACATTCCCGCTAATAACAGAGGTTGGTTTCACAACATATTTCCATAATTTGAAAATAATCCTAATGTTGCGCTTTGATAACGTTAAAAATTTGACTTTTTGAAGGTAAATCCTTTCACCTTTTCATCGAAACATCGTCGACGATAAATGTCAAATAGTTTCTTTGTTAATTCCTCACGCACTCGAACAAATCTCGTCGAAACCAAGAACTTCTTCGCATCCGCATATTCTGGCCCATCAGGCGATAGGGCTTTGAGGAATTTTTCTTCATCGTCTATACGCTATAGAGAAAACAATAACCATAATTTTATGCAAAACAACTTTTGACGTGTGAAAACAATTCATATCTTTGAAGTCGATGATAAATTCCGTTCAGTTAATATCAGTTCTTTTCGCGAAGAAACACAAATCATCAAATCTGCTCACCTTTTCCTTCTCTTTACGCGACGCTCGGCCTAAACCTCGTTCCTTGAGAACTTCCTCTGCATACACATCGTCTTTGAACAATCTGATCAAACCTTTACGACGTCTCCTTTCTAAAATGATCAATACAAATGAATCATTGATGGATAGCAACAAAACATTTTTCATTCAACTGCTTTCATCGTGCCACCACCTAATTTCATCAACACATTTACGAAATACAAATGTTGTCTCTTGAGAGATTCGAATCCCACTCAATTAGATGACTGAAAAGCAATGGTGGAGATGGAGGTGAACCACTCCGAACCAATCAAAGAAATACGCTCAAAACGATTAAACAAATTAATAATGACGAATAAACCAACTCACTTTCAGATGGTGGAATGTATTCAACCAAAGCTTTGCGATTCTCCTTTTCCTCGTCCGAATATTCGTGCTCTGATGAAACTTTAATACGTCGAAAATCTTTCAGTGCTATTTCGCCAGCCTCAGCCATCACATTGTTGGTATTTGACTGCGTTTAATTATGCAAAGTATTCACGGCGACTAATTAATTACTCGGTTGTGTTCGATTGGCCTGCTCGCCTAGCCAGCGGGGTGACGTAAATTGAGGCTAGAACAATGCGCACGGAAACGCGAGCATTGTGGCCAGCAACGTTATAAACGTTTGATAGCCTGGTCAATCCAGGTAATGAATGGAAATGTGTACGAATAAGGAAATTTTGAAAAAAAAAACTACTTTAAATTTCTGTCCGAGAATCTTCATCACGTCTGCGTGCTTCATTCCACTTTTCTTCACTTGTCCATAATTGTTTTTCACGAATTCCGCAAATTTACTGATCTGTTTCGTTTCTGTGATCGCTTTCCCATCGCTCCTCTTCACCACAAATTGCCCACGACAAATTGTACAGACCTTACGATTCATGTCGAACGATTTTGTGTGTCGTTTCAGTCTGAAATCATTTGTCACATTTGATACTATCGAGATACCGGTGATATTAATTTTAACTTTGAAACTCTGACGCAGTTCAATGAAATCTTCTTTCCGACTCAAGTTTGCGTTGGGGGTTAATTTGCAGCTCGAAATTTCGTTGAAGATTTTTTTTTCTGAAAGATACAATCAGCTCCATTGTATTGTTGCAAGATCAATCATTCATTTTCAAGTGTGAAATTATAGAAAGAACGAAAAATTTCTGCAAAATGATCAATAAATTTATGTAAATAATAAAAATTGTCATTAAAAATCGGAATGAAAACTAAAACAAAAAAATTGACGTTTGACCACATCCGTTACAAACTTGTAAGAATTTCGCATCAATTTTATAATTGTGACAACATTCGATTGGTGGTTATGAACTGAACACACTCATACAATGCATCGCCCTTCAACAAAAAAAAATTTACTCCATATTATCATAAACAAACTATCATAATGATTGATGAGAACTAGCTTTCTGCTTATGCAAACAGTAAAAATGAGTTCAGTCAGCGTGCGGTGGAATGCGCAGTGGAAACTTGATATAATATTTATTATTCAGTTCTCAATGATAATTTGATGATAACAGTAACTGGCCACTTGGCATACAATGTCCTCACACAATATTAATTCAAGATGATTGACAATAACGATAATAATTGACCGTGACGATGAACAATGATGATTCACAATGATAGCAATGAATATTACAATATCACAATACAATTGATTCTTCTTTTAACTATGATTGACGGCGTGTAGCATACGTTCTCCAATATGAAACATGACCAGCGACTTATGACTGCGACTTACGACCCCGATCTTTCGTTCCTTTCTCCTTAAGTACTTGCACCTCTCATCTGTCCCGGAATTCATCGGCCATAGTTTCCCATAACATTTTGTTGTCGTTCGTCGTTCAGCCATCGATCCTGGGAATCTTTCGCCTGTAAGATCTGAATTGAAGATATTAAGTACTTTGTTTGGGTTATCTTCCAAATTCTTGAAATCTAGATTTTTATGTTTTGAGAGCGAGGTGCTCGACTTGGTTACACCTCCCACCCTGAGGCAAGACCGTCTCTGGTCTTAGAAAATTAGAATAATAAGAAGAAATACCTGTCATACCATAATGCATGTAGTAGACCCTAATATCGATGCCATTTGCGGTTGATCATTATTGTGTCAGCAGGAAGAAACGAGTTGCCACGTTCATTTACTAACATATTGCGATGACCACGATGAGTGGTACCAAAGATAGCACTGACGTAACTGCTGCTCATAATAGGAGTTTCCTGGGCAGCATGTCGTAAATATGCTTGCCACGTTGCATATTTCAATAACATAGGGAAATCAGCAATAATGAAAAGACCATGGCTAGCTCGAGAGAGTGCCACTGTGATTCCTTGCGGGTCGGCAAAGAACTTGACGCTACTCTCGTCAACAGGTCGATTGTCATAGGAGCGCGTGGTGACGAGGATGATGATGTCATTCTCCTTGCCTTGAAAGCTGTCAACCGTGTGACAGTCAACGTGCAGGTCATTCAGTTGAGAGCGGAGATAGTCTCAAGTAGTTAGATAGAAGCATAATACAGTAATCTTTTGTGGATTTATGGTTAGAATCAAACGTTTGATAATATTAAGGGCAGCATCTTCTTGGTCACGATTATAGCGTGAACGCCAAGTGTTGACGACGTCAGCACCAGAAGCATGAATCAGAGCAAGCGGAATAAATTGAATAGGAAGCGGAAAGTCAGAAGCAGTAAGTAACGAACGATCGTCGGAAGAGACACCTGGTCTCAGTTGCCCATTGTATATGGCTTCTGAGAGACAATAGGTTAAGAATGGGTGAGATCGATAGGAAACATTAAGCGAAAACATTCTGTTCATTTCTGCAAGAATATTATTGTTGAAATGAATAACACTCAATCTCGAAGTTCACCCGTGCTACATTTTCAGATGAATATCGGTTGGTTTATCGTCGGTTTATATTTATGGTCAGTGAAGGTATTAGGGAACATCACCATTGCTCACACCAAGCGTCATAACTCTCTTAACTCAACAATTGACGACAAAATCTAAAAACGATTTCTGTTGTACTCAATCTCGGCTACGATTTCTGTTGTACTCAATCTGGCTAATCTCGAAATCTCATCGTATTAAAATCTCGCCAACGTCATGAAGTTTCAGGAGCCGGATGCATGCAGCAACCCCCGGACGAGCCGGACGCCACGAATCAGGCGCACGGGAATGATCCACAGGGCGCGCGAGACAATGTCCATCGTGCGCAAGAAGGATCACGTCGCCGGTACCCACCAACGATGACCCTATCTTCTAATAGTAAAAGATGGCACCCTAATCGATTTCTTGCCGATCGGGAACCTTCCAGCAGTTCTCAGTCATCCACAGGATCACAACCTGGTCCACAACCGGATATATCATTCTCAGAACCAACCACCTTACGCGAACCAGCCATTTACATTGTATCTCAGATACTACGAAACAGGATGACGCTCTTTTTGGCACCCGATCAAAGTGACGATATTCTACGCAACTCACCTGCCGTGACGTCAATCAATTAAACGACGGAATTTCATGATGAACGGGGCGCAGTAATCAGCATCAGTTACCGGCGAAACCGAATATTCGCGTTTGATCAATATCTCGTCTACGCATACCGACAAGCTCCGAAGAGAAGTGTCGAATTACCCTTTCAACAATACCAAGCGGCCCTAATCCCCCAACTACTAGTCAGTAACCGAATTACTTCAAATGCCTTAGCCGTATCGCTACAACATCTCGGAACACAAGGCAACGTACAACATACGATCTGCGTCATCAATCATACCTCTATCGCAGCAGCGACCCCACACAGACCAGCTAGAACGCAACTATACTATACTGGTCGCTACGTCCCGAATCTAGCTTACGCATCAGATCACCAACTCGACTAGAGTTTAAACCGCCCACCACCTGACGGTACCTTGGTAACAGCGACACACGTCGTCATCCCAGTGGGATCTCAAGCGGCGAGGACGTTCGTACTCCCGCACGGGTACCGCTGAGAGTCACAGCTACGCCGAATCACCGAATCAGAGTCGGAGGCGGCGCTCATGTGCCTGTTGCTGACTTTGTGAACATGGATGAGCTGCGCGGTATGAATACCATCAAGATGGTCCAAAAAATATTGCTTCCGGTGGATGATTTTCTGCTATGGCTCCAAGTATTGGGCCTAATATCCCCGACTAGATAGTGTGTCTGCAGTGAAAGGATGAGTGTTGAGAGTAGCGGAAAGTCGGGAAAGAAACGTTGGCCTTGTTGGCGTCGTGGGTGTCGCAAGAAGTCTTCTTACTGAGTCGTTTTTCGAGCACGTGAATTTGACCCCATTCCAGCTATTGTATTATTGGTGCAAAATACGCACACGATAGCCGAAATCCAGTTTGATATGCAGCGTGCGGATGGTTCCACTCCTAGTAAACATACTATTGTCGACTGGAACAACTTCTTCCGGGACATTTGCGTGGAGTATTTCGTTCAGAATCCCATGCAAATTGGCGGCCCTGGGAAGATGGTTGAAATCGACGAGACTGTTTTGACGAGGAGGAAGTATGAAAGAGGCAGTGTAGTACGACTACAATGGGTTTTCGGTGGTGTTGAAAGAGGTAGTGGGAAATGCTTCACTGTGCCAGTTGAAAACCGCTCCGCTGCCACCCTTCTCCCTATTATCCAAAAGCATATTCTCCCCAACACGACTATTATGTCCGATTTGTGGTCCACCTATAGCGGGGTCCACAACCTTCCTCAAGGATATACACATTTAACCGTTAACCACTCCATCAACTTCGTCGATCATGACAGCGGAGCGTGTACCAACACGATCGAATCAACGTGGCAGAAATTCAAACACTACCATAAGTGTCGTTACGGCACTCACCGGTCCCTCCTTGCTTCATACGTGGAGCAGTTCCAATGGCGTCGTTTGTTTGTAGGCGGTGATGTTATGTACCATCTTTGGAACCAAGTGCATGCCCTCTATCCACCGGAACGACTGGCCATCACTTCTAAACCCAACGGCCCTCTTTAGGGCCACCAATAAATAAACCAAACTTTGTCTTACATTGCTTATAAATTTGATAAATTACATAACACAATAGTTTCGCTTACTGTTGCGTGCGCATCGTTTCCCACTGAGGATGCACTATCCTCATCGCTCCCCACTGAGGATGCACTACGCTTGAAACAATAGGAAGAACTAACCCCAAAGGCCCTGCAATTCAGATAGACCCCTTTCTACCTGGTATAGCCGCGCCAACGGATACCGTTCAAAAGATCGCCCTGAGACATGAGGATGCGCTCCTTGCAGCAGCATCGCTCACACGTTATCGGACGAAAATTGCAATGGAATGCTCCGCATTCCACAGCGATAGATATACACTGACTCGTAAAGGCATCAGAGTATACCGCTGAAATATCATCGCCGAAATATACATCGACGAAGAGTCGCTCACGGATCTGACGCAAGGAGCGCCATGGACCATTAATCATGAGCACCCATTGTACATAGTTTCAGATACCAACAGAACGGGTCTTGAATTCAGAATCTCACAATTCCAAGCAGCAATCGTCGACCTTCGCTATATGGAAGCGGCACAACGCAGCGACCTCGAGCAGGTGTGCTATCAAACGCCGACGGATACAGCATCACGGCCCCGATCACGGCAGACATCACTGACCGCTGGCTCGAGGACACGGACACGTTATCCAAGTAATTGAAAACCAACTACTGGTAGGCGCTATAATTACCTTTTTATCTCAGATCTTTCAAAGACCGGAGACTGTCTTCGAAAAGGAAAGGAAGGTGTGAGCCACATGACGAGATCATATGGCACCAAAAAAACGAAAACTAATTAATTAACCAATTAATTAATTAATTAAAACCAGAGTCGTTCTTTGCAAAAAAAGGGAGGTTTAAACATTGTACTGTTCGAATTTCCAAAACACCATTCCGATGAAACGGTTCAAATCAAGACATAAAGATGAACATATGGGAAATGTAACATATTTGTTGCATATTCAGATAAAATGCATGTTAACAGCCAAAACAAAGACATCATTTGAAAGCTAAGAATGCTATCATAAGACGTTATCCACGAATATAATCTTTCGGGAACGTGAGAAAGAAAGATGGATCGAAGGCCATAAAAGAAGGCAGTGAAGAAGCCGAGGAAAGGGAAGTCAGAGAAGTTCGTCATTCAGCCGTTACGCATATTAGCCAACGAGTGGTATTTACTATACAATAAACACAATTTATGTAATGAACACACAAAATGTGTTCGCATTGCTCAAACGGAACCGAAACGAACTATGGTTGGAAAATAAACGCATACAATACTGCGGAGGGACTACTGGGTAGTAGGCAAAATTTCAGTTACCCTACCTCCTGTGTACACTACGTTTGATCAAGGCAAGCAAACCCGGATGCATCGCATCTCAACGCTAAATTGAGACTTAAGAATGAAGCGAGTTGATTTCCTAGAAAACAAATTTGTTGTACGAAATCTTGCTCTTATATTTGGGCTTTGGGTACTGCAACCTTAGGCTCAGGTTGACTGAAATAATTGAAATCACGTTTTCCTTGGAATTATTTTACTTCTTATTGTTGATTCATTTGTGATTATGTCTTATGTGCTGATAGTTTCCGATTAATTTCAGTTATCACAAAAGAATTTCTATCGTGGATGTGGTACTAACAAGAAAGTGAATAATTAATTCCTCAGTGCTCTGTTAAAATAATCAATTGCGCACATCTCAAGTTCCATTCGACTTTCTGCATTGTGCTATATACTTCAGTCGATGAGTAATTTTTATCTTAATAAATCTTTCTGCCTCTAACAAATGTCGTCTTGGAAAAATTTTAATGCACTCAGTTCTTGTGAAAGCCTATGATTTTCCAAATCTAGAATACACTTAACACAATTTTCCAACATAATTTGAATCAGCGCAGATACTATTATGGTTATCACTGGACCTACTTGTGCATTCTGTATCCAGTAGCCTGTCTTTCAGAGTGGAAATATGAGGAACCTCTCTCTCTTTCTCACTTAATAACTCTTCGCTCTGAACGCATAGCAAAACACGGTATGCTATGATGGTCGTGATCATTATGCTATGATAATTTTCAATAATTCTGCAATTTTCAAAGATTTGCTAGGAAAGCAGTAAACTGGATGAGATTCCATATCAGACCAAAATGAGATTTTCGAATTACATTACAAAAAAACTGAACGATAAAGTGGTGATAGTTTTCAAGAAATTTATTCTCTCACAGCAGTTATACATACGTTACGAAAGTATGGCTTGACGGATGAATTTTCAAATCAAGTACTCCATTTAATTCGCCAAGATACGTAATTTGTCAGTAATGTACAAAAATTAACATTAAATCACTTAAAAGGATGACAAGCTGACAGAGCCAGAAATTTTTCAATGAGCAGAACATCATCCAGTATTGCGATATGGGCTGCAAATAAAAGCCAGTTTAAAAGTTTGCGCCAGTACGACTGTTTTTATTTGGATTTGAGCAACTTTATCAAAGCATCATTGAAATAATCCTATTTACTACTTAACTGACTTGATTTCAATACTATGAGATAATTTTTATCAGGAGTGTTCAGTACGATTCAAATTTCAATAGATTCATTTCGAGCCATCCACAACTTTTTTCTATTGCACTCAAAGAATAGTGAGTATGGTTTCTGAAAGGGAACTTTCTTAAACGATTACCAATCAAGTTTATATCTAACAAGCGATATGCACATTAAGTAATAAGCAAACCAGCTCTTCCGATGATTCTAGAAGTACGTGATGCATCTGCCATAGACGGAACAACCGTATATTTGAATAGCATCGTTTCCTTCGAATTAATAATCGACTCATTTATGTTACGGACCATCTCTTCATAGATACGACCCTCAATACGAGTATCTTTTTGAATCGTCTATAAGAAAAATTAAATGTTACCGAGTATTCGCACAAAAAATATGCGAATATAGAGTTTGATTAGATGTCGGTTGTTATGAAAGAACGTACCTTCGAAATTTCAATTACTGCCGAGTGGTGAGGCACGAGAATATCATGGTATGTGCCCAGCAAAAGAACGTACTTAAATTTCGAGAACGTTCCATGCCGACTCAGTTTGTAGAGCAATGTATTCCTCAATGAGGCTGCATCACGCAATGTTAATTGGCACATTGATGCAGACTGCTTCCACCACTGCACCAAAGAAATGCCTTTAAATTGTCATTGATAGTAAACTGATGTTCCTCTCAAATCAACTCACCCCAATTAGCAGCTCGTTCGTTATACAAAAGACCACAGTGTGGTGAATTGAGTGTTAAAAATGCATGTAGTAGAGGTACAATAGGTGCAGCTTGTCGTTTTATAATCATACGTCTCACAATTACACCGCCCATTGAATGAGCTATAAAACTGCAAGATAACCAATCTGAGTGTAGCAATGATTGCATCAATAATGACAATAGTGAACATGATAATTATAAATACTAATGAAAACTGAAATTCACTGATCGCTGTCCCCTCCGTTATTATTATGAAAGAAAAAAGTGAAGTAAAGAACGGCTAAAAAGCATACGATATTCGCTTCGGTTTTTCTGAACAGTTTCCGAGATAATCAAGAACCTCTTCAAGGAGATTCGTTGCCAGAATATTTATATCTGACCAAGTTTCTTGAATATTTGATTTTGAAATTAAAAACTTCAGATTGCTGGAAGGCAACAATAAACGCAAATAGACACGATATTCTGACAAATCTTCGAGAGTGCCTATAAGCAATAAAGTATGATTCGAGATTAAATTTGATGCTCTTGAAAGGCACGGTAATATAATTAATATAATTGTTATTATCAGTTATCAGTAACTGATATCAGTTATCACTAAAAACGATAACTGTTTGATAAATGAAAAACATTTTCACCTTGTAAGCCGTGGACAAAAACAATTAGGTGCATATGACCAGAGCGATATTCTTGCGTTGAAAAATACGATTCATGGCCAGGAAATGATGCGAAATCACTGACAAAGAAATGAATAAAATCAATTGGAGACAAGCAAAACCAAAAGAGTTTATTCAGACTATTGTTGTTTACTCCATTATGCACATTTTTGAATTCCAAATGAGCATCAGCAATGATTTTTATCATTACAATGAGTTTCTTTCAACAACAACAAAAATAATTCGAGCATTATGAATTGAAATGTCAAGATATGATGGCAGATTTCATAACGCCAATACGTGAATAATAACAAATGTATAACGTTCGTATTGCGATAAAAAGAACCGTTTGAAGTTACCACCAAGTTGCTGGTTTGCAATTTCAAGATTTAAATATTAATCATAATTTTAATTCGATTTTTTTGCTGATTTTGAGAGAATCCAAATGAGCGAAAAAAACAATACCTATACAGAATAGGCTGACGACCGCATTGATGCAGTTTCGATTTGAAAGATTCTTTACGATTCACAAAATCGATCCGTTGTTCATTCAAACGCAACGAGGCGTTCATAAATGAAAACTCACTTCCAGTAATTGAGCTCAAATCATTTACTGAGTCATCAATAAATGCTCCTGAAACTGAAGCCAGTCGCGTGGAAATCAGTTGAATCATGACAAATAAATAAGTGGATCAATTGTTCAATACAATCTCAATTATAACCATTTGCGCACTGATGAAAAGATAAACAATCGATGAAAAAGCAAAATGGAATTGTCAAATGGTACTTGACGAATTTATCGTAAAGCCATAATCATTTGCAGTAACAGCGTCAACGGTGAATGTTGATGATAACCCCTGAATAATAAGCTGTTCAGGACTGCAAACCGTGTCATATGTTCCATAATTTTGCGAACGAATTAACTTCATTTGTCCGGTGCGACATCATTTTGAACATACTGACACTTTCACAAATGATCATGATTTTCAGCGAATCGAAAGGACTTCTAATGAGGAAAAGTTGTTGATGCATTCAGGAAAAAAGTGTTCTTCTTTATAGTTTAGTAGATGACGTTTTTAAGGATAGTTGTTTGACTTCAACAGATAGACGAACTGCGAACAAAATGAAGAAACAAACAACATGAATGTAGGAAAATCTAACTGCGATTGAGTATTGCTCTGATAGGTTGTAGAAGAAATTCGATTTGACATTAGCTATATTAGTTTCTGATTTTGCTTTTCGTTCCTTCTTTACTGATAAAATCCAAGGATCCTTATTCCACTTCCTTGGATTCGTCAAACTTTGTGAACGTCGCCTTGATCTCTAAAACGATTCAATTATTGGGTGGCGAAAATGAAAATTTAACGAATGAATAGGTGAGGGATATATATATTAATACTAACAAAATTTGGCGATGGTAGATCTTCAGTATGACTGACCATATAAACCTGTGAACTGCCGCTACATGAACGTATGAATGAGTTTATATTTCCACGATTTGTGACGTCGAGCACTCCGTTGTTTTCAAATGGATGCCTACTCGCTATGTAGCGTCTTTCAATAATAACACTCCTTCAATTGAGAAATATTTTAAGAATAATAATAAAACTATCAATAGTAGGTATATTGGTGTCTTCAGATATGAAGGAACCTTATCGATTCACAAGAGTACTTGGCTCTCAATTCTAGTTCATCTTATACCGCTAGCATTTTCCAATGCTACTACTTCATTAAACTTTACTTTGATTTGAAGCATTGCTTTGACCATGATAGACAAGAAATATCATTTATTTGTTCAAAAGATCCTCAACGTTTAACGTCATCATTATCATTTCTTTAACGACGGTGAAGTTTTGAGATGAAGAATGAATTAATAAGGTTCCTAGAAGAAACTAAGAAAATGGAACGAAATTAACCAACGTATTCGATTTGTTCATGTCATTGTCGTGAACATGATACTTCGACCTTGGTATCCAACTGTAGTATGGCTTCTTTTTGAGAAGCTCAATAATTCGTGAGACGCTATGCTGTGATGTGTCATTGATTAGCGAGTTATCCTCGATGATAAAGAATGCCTCTCCCAAGTTTTTCATTCGCCATAAATTGAATTCCTCTAATAATCCAGAAGTCAACTTCATTTGTGATCGTGAAAGAACTTCGATCATTCTAGAAAATGACTGCGTAAGCTTCTTCGAGAAACGATGTGCGTCACGTTCGATTTGCTTCCAGCTGTCCTTGTTATGTTCAAAATTATTCAAATGACTTTCAACCTGTGCGTCAACATCGATCGAACCTGATGAAAATGAAACATTTTCAGAAACAACATGAAATATTTCAGAACATTCACACCAATCTGCGAATTAATCTTTCATTCATCAACTGTACTAATTTCATTATGTGACCATAAGAACCAAATACAGTGGAACGTCGGTTTACGAACGCTTCGATTTGCAAACGAAATTCTTGGCGAAAATTTGCTTCGGTTTATGGACCCTTTCGATTAAAGATCAGAAATGCTTCGTCACGCTTTTAGGCATATTTATACTCTGCTCGGAGAAGAAGGTGGTACGAATGTGTTCTGGAAAAAGAAGGTTAGTATTTTGCTCATGTAATTGAGGTTTGTGAGAGAGAGAAAATTGATCGAAGTTTTGATCGAAAATTGATTCGATGGAAAATTTCCTTGAAAAAAAATTGCTTGAATAATCATGTAATTGAGAGGAAATTTGGGGCTGGAAATAGATTGCAATGATGTAAAAGAACTATTTGAGGAGGACACTGTTGTACTAAAGAACTCTTAACTTCGTAAGACGACAAGCATAATATAATGTTGCAGAATACTTCATTATGACACGAGAGTGAGTTAGGAAAAGAAGCCTGACCTTCAGACATGGCAGAGATCTGGGCTTTTAGGACTTCTTCCACATGAATTGTTGACTTTACAATATTCGAGTCTTTTCAACGATAATTTTCTATCTCAATTCAGTGAAATCTTAAAGCATCGGTAAAAGAATACCTCATTAGACAGATAAATAATGACGCAAAAAACACTTGAATCGTAACCAGACCCGAGTGGTAGTCCTTCAAAGAAGTGAAGTACTGATGCAACATCTCAAGCCATTTTCGGATATTTTTACCGAAGATCATTCGGATTTTGATCAAAGCTCACATCTTTATTATTATGCTGTATTCTGGAATGTAACCTCTAGGGAAGCCAAATCTTTTTATTACCGTTTATTTATGGTAAATAAAAATATTGTTTGAACTTGTCACGTTAATGAATGAATGTTTCTTGTGTTATGTCATCGAAATTGCTATACCTTATATTATCAATAAAATTTTACATAGGAAAAATTGGGTCGGCTGGGACAAATTAATTCATTTTCCACGGACTACTATTGAAAAATATGCTTCGGCATACGACGTGTTCAGTTTACAGCCAAATTGTAAGAGCGGATGGTACTGTTGTCGATATGCTGTCGAAACGCTCAAAACGAGCGAAAATTTTCCAAGATCGAAAGAGAAGGCTCTCTCATAACACTTTCCTGTCTGCTTTCATTACGAACATCGCTCACCATATCCGTCTGACGACTGAGAGAATTTTTTGAATGGAAAGGCAGAGAGAACGACAAATTGGAGATAGTATAAATACCATAAAATGCAACAGAATTGTTAGTGCTCGTATGCTCAGAAAGTATCATTCACTTGAATCGTGAAGATTACAGGAAATTAATGTGGACTTCCGGGTCTGTTCTCATGGTTTTAGATAGACAATCTCAAAGTTTTGCCAGGTACCACCATTGTGTCCGATCTACGGTCAGCATATGGTGGTATCAAAAATTTACCGCAAAAGTATCAATATGAGAGTATAAATCATTCGAAACATGTTTTAGATCCCGATACTGGGGCGTGCACAAACGGAGTGGAGTCGATGTGGCAGAAATTCAAGATGAAACACAAGTCCCGGTTCGGTACTGATCGCGCGTTATTAGCCAGTTACGTGGAACAGTTAGTTTGGAAGAAAGAATTTGGAGGAGAAGATTGCTTATACAACTTGTGGAAGCAAATGGCAGATGTTCACCCCATATAATATGGGGCTAGAACAGCATACCTCAAACCCAACGGCCCTCTTTAGGGCCACTAAATAATGCAGTTGGGTAGATACGTAATGAAAATGCAATATGACACAAATGAGAGAGAGGGTGAGATGAAATACAACAAAAGAGAGATGAGATGTAATAAACGGACGCAGACAGTGGACCTTCAAATGAGAGATCTTGGACATGAAAAAATTTTCGCTGGTTTTCAGCGCTGTGACAGCATTTCGACAACAGTGTCGAGCGGACTGTGGTCATGAACCGGGGTCCCACCGTATTCAATCGTTTATCACAGCAGCAATTAGTTGATTGCAAAAAGTTGATGGCTAGAAAGATCTGATAATATGAAATTTTTATGTGTGAATCA